ATCATTCTTGGCATAAGAATATCAGAAATCTGCACGAATTTCGCACATCTCAGAATCTCCAGAAATTTTCCAAAAACTTGATACTGCACGATTTTTGCACGGATCTGATTATATCTTGAATCTTCAAAAATTTGTTTTTGCACAAAGTTTGCACGCATCAAATCTTCATCAATATGATTTCGCCCTAACTTTGCACGCGAATTTTCAAAGGAACCCTCTTTGAAAACAAAGTCAATATGATGGACATCGTCTTCATATATATCATAGATTGGATCACCATAGATCTCTCGATAGATCTCATGGTTCTCTTCTCTCTCAACAAAAGGACTTTCGTCCAGGATAGGATAGATGCTAATACTCACCATGACATCCAGAATCGCCTTCGATTGAGAAACCAAAGGAACGCGGCTCTGATACCAACTGATGTAGCGGATAGATAGATTGAACGGTCGATCTAAGAATTTAGGGTTCTTCGAGACCTGTTCTTGGATCAATCAAGAGTTACTTTCGTTAGCTTCTTGAGACCAACTTCCTGAAGAAGATGAATTTAATCGAATCTTGTTCAAGGCAACTTAAAATAGATGAATTGAATCAAATCTATATCAAGGTATAAAGCAAAGCTTCTTTTATTATTAATCAATCAACTGAATACAACTCTAGGCATAAGAAGCCTATATATATGAAAACCATAAAACCCTAAAACAATAAAGATAATTATCTAAAATAACTAATAAAATAAATAATAAATATTTGGAAATATCCCAAATATTTATCTATATCACATCTCCTGAGCTATCATGATATTGTCGGAAATCTGACGCCCTGCAACAAAAGCCGACTGAGTTTCAGAGATCCTATCTGGTAGGACCTTTTTCAATCTCTGGCATAAGACCTTAGAGATAATCTTGTAACAAACATTGCACAGGCTAATCGGCCGTAGTTGAGTCATCTGGTTTGGCTTTTCTACTTTTGGAATAAGGCATATATTAGTATCGTTCAGACCAGCTGGTATCGTGCCTTGAAATAAAAATTGATTAACCATAAGAGTTAAATCATCCTTTACTATATCCCAAAATTGCTGGTAGAAAAGGGCTGTCATCCCGTCTGGGCCTGGGGCTTTCTCAGGATGCATAGCAAAAAGAGCCAGCTTCACCTCCCATTCTGATACCGGTCGTGTTAGATCTGCATTATCCGCAGGCGTAATTGTAGTCGTAACTTCAGAAAGTGCTTCCTCTATCTCTTCTGGATTAGATGATTGGAAAATGTTTCTGAAGTAGCTTGTAGCAATGGCTATCAATCCTTCCTCATCCTCCACTACATTTCCGTCAGCATCAATTAGTTGGGTTATCCTATTCCTCGCTCTTCTCTGCTTCGTAAGAGCATGGAAAAATTTAGTGTTCCTATCTCCCTCCCTCAACCAGAATACCCGGCACTTCTGTTTCCAAAACAACTCCTCCGCCTTAAGAGCGTCCGACAATTCTTTTAAGGCAGCTGCAATCTCCTCTGTGGTTGCATCATCATTCGATGATAGACGGTCTACCTTTTCCTTAAGCTCCTCCACACTCTTCTCCGAATTCAGATTGTGTTGCCTTTTCCAATCACATAGAGCTCGCCTACAGCTTGCAATATGTTCTGTAATACTCGCCTCCGGTGGAAGATCTGGCGACTTCCATCCTTCAAGTATAATTTGTCGAAGTTCTTCATTTTGAAGCCATCTCTTATCAAATTTGAATTTTTTTGATCTGCGTGGCTTCTTCTTAAGAATATCAGCAAGGACCGGACGATGATCCGACCCCCATAATCTCATATACTGCACTTTGGTATGGGAAAACTTCTCATGCCAATCCTCATTGCCAACCGCCCTATCCAGACGACATCGAACGGTAGAATTACCTGCCCTTCTTCCCACCCAAGATAGCATGTTCCATGTAAAGGGAAAGTCCAGCATACCACAATCACTAAGCATCTGCTTAAAGGGCAAGAAAGAACTATCAGTGCGTTGGACACCTCCCTCCTTCTCTTCATGGCACGTTATTTCATTAAAATCACCAATCATGAACCAAGGGCCATTTCTTGTTGTTGAGAAACGCGTAAGGCGTTCCCAGACTAACTCTCTTCGATCTACAACAGGATCCCCATAAACAAACGTCATAAAGACTTTTATTCCATCAATGACTGCCTCAATGTCAATCATTCTGTTATTTGAAAATAAAACATTAACTTGAAAATCATCATTATAAAAAAGAGCTAAACCTCCGCTGAGACCAAGTGGCTCAACGGTAAAAACACGATCAAATCCTAAGTCGGCCTGAATGTCTTGCAACAGCAGCCTCCTATTCTTTGTTTCAGAAAGGAACACAAGTCCTGGGCGATGCTTCTGACACATCTCCGTAAGGCGTCGAACTGTGAGGTTGCTCCCTATGCCTCGACAGTTCCAACTGAGCGTTTTCATTGATGAGAGTGGGAGGAGATTTTGGACCCCTCCATACCATTACTCTTACGTGCACTGTCTCTTGAACTCCTTGAGGAGCCCGGTCGTTGCGTTCCAGCGTGTGACAAGTCCTTAGATGAGGACCTGCGCCCCCTTGGTGATCCTCGACGAAGGAATTCACCTTTCTTGCTTTGAACTCCCATCGGAAGCCGACTTCTTCCTCCTCCTCTATTCGATGGTAATTGTCTGGTCTTCTCACGTGTAGCTTCCTCCTTTTCCAGCTTATTGCTCTCCTCCTCCTTGCTCTTGGTGTTGCTTGCCTCCATCTCCAAAAGTTCCTCGCCTAGCAAATCCGCACCCTCATCTTCCTCAACCGTCATCTCCCCTCCTTCCTCTCCTATATCCATGGCCTCAGAATCATGTAAAGCTCCTATGATTTGAGCATCCATCGGCACCAGCTTCTCCGTAGGAGAGTAAGTGAGTAGCCGTGGAGTGATACGTTTAGTTACGTGGTCATCATGTAACATCTGAGCAGGACTTACAATTTGACTTGATAATCTTTTCCCACTACTCCAATGGTTATCAGCTCTCGTATCTCCGTCTTCCAAAGCCGTCGATGGTCCATTATTTTCACCAGAGCTGAAACGTTGAACAGAAGACTCCCGACGTGATCTAGGCTCATGTCCATCAACAGAGTTGCTCCTTGCCTTCCACCTCTGCGTTGGTCCTTTCCTCTCATAGGGAGCATACCTAGAACTTCTGTAAGTTGGTCTCGAGGTGATCTTCGAGGACTTATTTTGTTTGCTCGCAGCACCACCATGGATGTGGCGGTACGCAGCCCGTGCATCATTCATGAGACCACTTTCCCGATGGTCATGTCTCGTACATGAATCCTTCGGTGTGCCTGTAAAGCCTGAGACTCCCTGTTAGAACCGCCTGGTTCATAATTCAGCCTCTCCTGGAGTCCTCGTTTATAATTATCCGAGTGGGTTTGATCTCGCAGCAAAGGCTGCCTGTGATCTTTAACCGCAGGTTCATGAATCCTTGAGAACACACCATGATTCTTCGGGATGGGCGCATCAAATGGGCAGTACGCCATTTCGTGTGTCATCATTCTGCAGGTCTTGCAGTACTTAAACAGTTTTTCATATGTGATCTGTATCGAAACTTCATCTCCACCCGGTGACGCTACTTTCCTGGTGAAAGTTAGAGGCTTTCTTGAATCTATATCAATAAGCATGCGGCCAGCGGAGAGATCAACCGTATCAACATGCCCAAGTCTGTTGCCAATGTTTCGAAGGTTCGCAATCGTCCACAGATGAAGAGGAATGCCAGTGATCTCCACCCAGAAGGGGATAACCCAAGGATAGTCATCATGGACCACCGGTTCCCATCGGACAAGCACAAACATGCAAAAATTAAAATGGAACGGCCCTTGTGCTAAGACGGAGTTGAGATCTTGCTCATTAGAAAAGTTCAAAAGAAACTTTCCGTTGCCTAGATCGTTGGCGGTGATCTTATCCTGCATCTTCCACTGCCCGGGCATGGTCTGGATCAACTTTTCCACAGTTTGTTTCTTTGCGTTTAAAATCTTTCCTATGAGGGAGAGCTTATAATCCCGAATAGAGACAGAGGCATCTTGCTCGGTGAGTTGTATTGGTGCATCGTCGTCCTCAGTGTCATAGGTACTCAGTTTGCCTCTCACCTCTACCATATGAGCAGAGTTTGAACGGACCATTACAGAAGAGAAACGATGATCTGTTACGCAATAGTTGTCGATGAGTGATGGGATCAGTCGTCAAAGAACGATGATCAGATGATCCCGGGACTAAACAGACGATCCCGGAAATAGACAGAGACCTGGGATTAAACGGAGATCAGATGATCTCGTAGACGATCGCAGTGATGGGGTCACGACGATCTCCAATGGCAATGATCTCCAATGGAAAGCTTCGTTAAAACTAGTGGTCGGAAGAGAATCAAAAGGAAACTCGACAGTAGGTTAATGGTGGCCGGAGAAAAACAGTGAATAAAGAGATCGGGATGTCGTGCTTTAGACGGAACCGACAAAGATCGAATCCAGAGGAAACAAGACGCTGGATGAGGGGAAGACAATGATCTACCCTACCCCGCCATCATCGTGGAGTGAATCTACGCCGGAAAAGAAGCTGCGAAGCCAGATCTTCCTGTCTCCATGGTCGTCGCCGCCAGAGCTCTTAAAAGTAAAACTATTTTAAAGTTTGTAAAATTATAGTTTGGTTCACTCTAACTTATTCGAAGTAAATTATTTGATATGATATAGTATGAAACTCTCAACTTCTTTTAAAAATGTAATACTTCATTAGTTTATAAAACTATTAATCTATAAAAATATTTTCTAATGGCATAAAAACATTTCCAACAAATAAATTTGGTATAAAACAACGTTCATTAAATGCTAAAATAATATACAAAGCACAATTGATAAAATACTAAAAATTAAGTATAATATAAACTGAAACAAAAAAAAAATAGATTCTAAAACATCATTTGTTGTTAAATAAAATATATTAATTATTATCTACGACATTATTGATTTTTTTTTGTATAGTACTTTAATCACATTACATTATATTATCAATAGGTTTAGCTTGTAGATTGATTAATAAATTACCGTGAGAACATTAATTAGTGTAAGAATATTAAAATTTGAAACTCTTAAGAAAAAAATGCATCCGTTATTTTTACTTTAAATTTTTGTCAACTATATCAAAGTGAAATTAAAAGGCAAAAGAAAAATAGAAATCATTACATTTTCCTTACTTTTTTTTTATTTAATAATTTTGTGTTCACTAAAAACTTTAGTGGTACATTCAAATCAAACCAAAAAAAATTTAATAATACAGTCAAATTTTAGAGTAAAAATATATTTGTTATTTTCATTTTAAAGTAATTTTCAAATGTTTTCAAAAAATAAATATATATATTAATATAAAAGAGTTTTATTGTAGACTCACTTCCATGTAATGCGGACCAACCCCTAATAGTTTTGTAGGTAAACTGGATTATGTTTGTTTTGAAAAAAATATTAAAATTTAATTTAGATTTTTTAAAAGTAATTTTCATGACTTGTTGGATCTCCGTATAATATTCAGACCAATTAGAACAAAAATAAAATAGGGCATGACCTATCACATCTTTGCAACATTAGATTGAGTAGAAGCAATTGTAAACACGAGCCAGCCCCATTAGAGAGAAGTAAAAGCAAACCTAATTCTTCATCTGTCTACCTGTTAAACTACATCCCCATATTGTCTATGCATTCCGGTTACTCTGAATACACACGCAACAGTAAAGTTAAAACCTTGCTGATTGCAAAAATTCAGCAACGCCAAAAAAAATATCAGCGAGATGATGGAAGAACTCAAGAGATTTATGGTAGTATGGTTTTCTGCAATGATCTCAGTATGTTACTGTTATTACTTACCAACCAGAATCAAGCCTGGGGTTCTTGATTACTCTCTATCCTTCATGTTTGTGCTCAGTTCTTATTTTTTTCCTATGGTCCTCTCCTCTCTGTTTTTCATTTCCTTCACGATGTTTTTCCTTACTGGTATGGGATCTTTGAAACTCATCCTCTTTGCCTTTGATAAAGTTCCTCTTTTCCCACTTCCAAGCCTCCTCCAGCTTATTTTGTTCACTTGCTTCCTAATCAAGAAACCTGAAAAAACTAAATCTCTATCTAGTTTCCCCAGATGGCTTTTCGCCATAAAAGTCGCAATATATGGAATGTTGTTGTATGTACGAAAATACAAACAAAACCTTACCCCATGTGTGTTATTGCTTGCTCTGAATTTTTACTTGCCACTAGAGATATTATTAACGGTCATCAAGTTCCTACTGACTACAGTGGCGGACCTAAGAATTAATTAATGTGGTGTCAAAATTTTGATTACAAAAAATAAATGTTCTAGAATTCGCTAGGCGCTACGCGTGCGATCGGATAAGGCCTAGCGTCAAATCAATTAATCGGGGATTATACGGAGATTAATCGCGGATTAATTTTAGAGCTTTTATACCCGTAACTGGGTATATATATTAAATATGTGACCAATTATTGTAGTTGTGAAGCTAGTCCAGTGGTTAGAGGTGATGAGTGTAGTTATCTAAGAGAACAATTGCATGTTTTGTTAATTATTTTTTAAATTAGGTTAAATGATATTGGAAATGACAAAAGTAACCTTATCTTCAACCCTCCACTGTATTTCTCTGCAAATCTCCAGCTGCTTTTCAAATATTTTTTTCTGATTTCATTGATTCTTCTTATTATTCTTGTAATTTTTAGCGAAAATACATCAAATATGAGACATATGTAATATTAAACATAAAACCATGAAAACATTGAGTTTTTTACTTCCGATTTATTGGCCGAGTAAGATCAATTCGCCGCGGCTCTTGTCCGATTGCGTGTTTTCAGCGATTAACCGGACGCCTAGCCCGCGTTTTCGAACATGGCAAAAAATAAGGTGTCATGTTGGACTCGAACTAGGATAATGGGTGTCAAAATATAGATTTTATCCTAAATGCCAAAAATATTTTAAAAATTTACGTATAAGAAAATATTTATATAGATTTAGGGGTATCATATGATATTCCATTGTCCTCAATAAATCCGCCACTGATTGACTATCACTTTTGGGTTTGACCTCAAGCCAATGTTCGATGAACCATACTTAGCCACCTCTTTTCAAGATTTATGGATAGGCGTTTGATATACCATGATTTTGACCGGTTTTTGGTCATGATTTTTATATGTTTTTATAAGTATTATCTATGTTTTGGAGTCTATTAGGTATGTTTTCAGGTTCAGGAACATTTTGTAGTAAAGTGATGATTTAGGTGTCTTATGGAGCTTAAAGGAGAGTTTTACAAGTTGACTATCAATATCCAACATTGAGAGACACATATCGATCGATATACAATAGAAGTTGAAGTCGAGATACTCCATCGATCGATGTACACCATGTACCATCGATTGATACTGAGCGTGATGAGCAAGATTTACTTGGCCGACTTGAAGCCCAAGTTCTCACCAAATTACAAGATTGCCCCTGACGAGTTTTTAACCTAATTGTACTCATATTTATAGCTATGCCTATGAGCCCTAGAAAGAATTCAATCATTAGATCTAATAAAAAAGTTTTGTATTCTATTTCTACTTAGCAATAAAAGTATTTTCTTTTCATCTTATTCTTTTGCTATGAATCTCTTGGCTATGTCTGAGTAGATTCATTTGTTAGATTTGGGGTTCAAATAGTTATGTGGGATTATCCCCAACTATGGATTGTTGAGTTGTTATATTCATTATACAAATGAACCCTAATGCTTACTCTAGACTTGCTACCTAGAGTTATGATTATGGAGTGACTAATCTAATAGTCATTTTCCTGAAATCATTTGGCTAAGCCCAGACTCTATTAGGCATGATGCGACAGCCGGTCTAATAGAAATTTTCGGGTGAACACAGTTTCAATTCGATCTGATGCTATATATCGATCGATACTCCTATAGAGTCATCGATCGACGGCAACATATATCGATCGACACTGCGATAGCAACAGCGATCGATACTGTCGGCAATCAGATCAATGGACGAGTCTAATAGCGACAGCTATAGATTTGTCTAAGGATTGAAGTTCTCATATATTTGCAAGCAATTCGTTAAGACATCCACAGATTTATAATCCTGATTTTCTGAATAGTAACCTTGGATCTAACTACTTTCTTTCATTGTTTTCAAACCCAAAACCTATTTTCCTTAGCAACTTACCATTGCTACCAACTTTTATTTATTGTTTTAAACCTTTTCAACCTAGCTTAATCACTTAGGATTATATCTTTTGTGACTCTAGTTCCTTGTGGATTCGATCCCTAAGTACTACGATTGAACCTCTTGTTTGAGAGAGTAAATCACTCCTTAGGGTTAAACATTTGAGTGATATCAAATTAGGCGCCGTTGTCGGGGAACTAAGATCACTATTAGATTTAATCTGATTCAGTCTAGGTTATTTGTTTTTTTTTTTTTTCCATCTTTTGACACAAAATTTTATCTTTTTCTTTTTGTCTCTTGCAGGTACATGCCCAGTAGTACTAGAAGCAACAAGGACAAGCAACTTTTGTACTCAGAAGATCCCAACAATCTGGAGCGTAGCATCCACAAAGACTTACGCTCCTCATCGATCGATACCAACACCTCTATATCGACCAATACGCGTTTTCCACCGACAATCAACAATCGTTCGTCGACTAACCATCCCATCAATCGACATCAACAACCGTTCGTTGACCGACACCAACACCACCTCATCGATCGACATCAACCACCGTTCGTCGACCGATACCCTTCACTTGACATCGATCGATACTAACCGGCGAGACATGGTAGCGCCTATGATTCTCATACCCGATGAGAATGGAGACCTGCGTGATCAAGATGGTCACCTGCGAAATGTAGCAGGCCAGAAGCTGAATGATCAGAAGGAGATCATTACTGAAGAAGAGACTGCACCCACAGGCATCGTTCAACCTGTAGGAGAGACCAGAACTTTGGCTGATTACAACCGTTCGTATCCGTTCTATTCAAACCGATCAGCCATCCTCCCTCCTGCTATTCAGAGAGGAGATTTTGAGCTCAAGCCGCAGTAGTACACACTTGTAGGAAAAATCCCTTTCTGTTGTTTGCCCCATGAGCATCCTATGGACCATCTAGAGAGGTTCGAGGATCTTGTAACCCTAGTCAAAGCAAAAGGAGTCCCTCAAGACTATCTTTTCTGCAAGCTTTTCAAGTACTCTCTATCTGGAGAAGCTTTGTAGTGGCTGAGACAACTACCACCAGGTTCCCTTACCACCTGGAGTGACATCAAGCACGCTTTCCTGTGTAATTTCTTTGATGATTCACGCGCTGAAGACTGGAGAAAGAAAATTGCTATATTTACCCAAGCCCCTGAAGAGTCATTCAAGGATACTTGGAACAGATTCAAATCCTACCAGCGAGACTGCCCACACCACGGATTCAACAAAGTGCAACTGCTCTGCACTTTCTACAGAGGCATCAGCCCAGATTTCAAGAGAGCCCTTGATACAGCTAGTGATGGCAACTTCACCACCAGGAATCCTCAGAATGCTATCAAGCNCTGAAGAGTCATTCAAGGATACTTGGAACAGATTCAAATCCTACCAGCGAGACTGCCCACACCACGGATTCAACAAAGTGCAACTGCTCTGCACTTTCTACAGAGGCATCAGCCCAGATTTCAAGAGAGCCCTTGATACAGCTAGTGATGGCAACTTCACCACCAGGAATCCTCAGAATGCTATCAAGCTAATTGATAATTTGGCTTCCAGCAACAGCACAAGAAAATCTGTGACGCAGACTACATCATCCCTTGGGAAGGAGTATGTCAATGAAGTTCAAGCACAGCTAGACAACATTCAGAAGCTCCTAAACAAGCAGATCTGTTCAGTGGAAGATTCAGACATTGTTGAAGAAGATGTCAACTGGATTAGTGGAGCTGGTTTTCAGAGATCTGGTAACCAAGGAGGACACAAAAACTTCACAGGCCAGAGAAGCAACTTCAACCAGAATTCCAAGAAGCCCAATAACTCCAGAAGTGCCTTCTACTCAAATTTACACCCACCCACCCAAGATACTAAACTGGAGGAGTTGGTAGACAAGATACTTGAGAGTCACCAGAAGCCCGAGGTAAACTTCAATGGAAAGATCGATTCTGTCTACACCACCTTCACCACGAAGATAGATGCCCTCAGCACCCATGTGAAGAAGCTAGAGACCCAAGTGTTTCAGACAGGAGAAGCACTTAAGAAGCAGGAGTTTGCCCACACCCAGAACATCAATGCCCTCCTAGATGATGACTTTTGGCAAGAGGTAGTAGAAGAGATTCAGAGATCTGATGATGAGAGTGAAAGAGAATTCGCCTACGACTACTATCGATCGATATCGCCATCTCAACATCGATCGATATCGCCTTTAGCTCGTTGATCGATTGATTTTGACGACTATTGATCGATGGACTCAGACGAAAACCCTCGCGAGTGCAATTCCGTCAAGATTATGCCTCACACCACCTTCGCAGCACGTCACCCACATCCGCCCATCCCTGTCATCGATCGACATAATGCGCTTGTCATCGATCGACACCAAGACACTGATATCGACCGACACACTCCAGCCAGTGTCGATCGTTACACAGTACCCCAACGCCGAGTGCCGCTTCCTAAGATTGATAGTGAACGTCTTGACATTTTCCGGGAGAAGTATTACACCACCAGAAACCCTACAACAGCCCTAAAAGAGAGAGCCACACACATCTTTGAGTCCATGGAGATAGAAAAGGAAACTCAGGGGAGAGCTCTCAGAAAAAGGAAAGAGAAGATACCTAAACCCTATAAAGAGAAGCTAATGAGAAGGAGTTGTCAAGCTTCAGAAAAAGAGTCCTCAGAATACCTAAAGAGAAACCTTTTGAAGAAGCCTATTTTTCACACAGATTGTGGATGTTCTTCAGAGAAACCAAGGAGACCGAAGAAGACATCAGGAGGATGTTTAACCAAGTGAGAGATAGCCTCAAGCAGAAGATAACACTGGAGAAGAAGAGTGATCAAGGGAAGTTCACAATACCATGTTCCATCAGAGGTGTTGAGTTCCCACGTGCCCTATGTGACACAGGATCTAGAGTTACCATCTTACCCAAGCTTATGGCAGATCATCTAGGTCTGAAGATAGAGCATTCTGAAGAAACTTTTATCTTTGTGGATTGTTCTCAGCAAAGCTCTGGAGGCATCGTTCGCAACCTTGAGGTACAGATTGGAGAAACCCTAATTCCTACAGACTTTCATGTCCTCTCCAACAAGCTCAA